GTACAATCCTCCTCCCTTTCTTCAGGAGGACTCCCAGAGCTCAACCCAGTGCTTGGCTGTGGATCTCTGCATGTGCTTCCATCAGTTACTGGATGAAGGCTCTCTGATGACAATTAGGGTATTCACCAATCTGATTACAGGAGAAGGCCAGTTCAGGCACCCTCTCCACTATTGCTAGGGGTCATAGCTGGGGTCATTCTTGTGGATTCCTGGGAGTTTCCCTAGCACCAGGTTTCTCCCTAACCCCCAAATGAGCCCCCCCATCAAGATATCTCTTTCATTACTCTCCCTCTCTGTCCTGCCCCCACCCACTCAACTCGATCCCTCAAGTTCCCTTCCCCCATCTTCTTCATCCCATCCCCAGTTTACCCAAGAGATCTCTTCTATTTCCCCTTCCCAGGGAAATCCATGCAAGTCATTTTATTAACGAGGCTAAGAACCCCAAAGGGGGATGTCAATTTCCCCTGTATCAGTTAAGAGTGCAACAGAAGAATCAGATTTATAGGGAAACTGCAGCCACTCTTGCTCCCTGCCTCAGCAAGGCTGTGGACCCTAGAGGTTTAAGGATAGATATTTCATTCCACTCATCTAAACTCTGCTCCCAGCCCTACTCTCTAGCCCACCGCCTACCACAACTAGTCTGCCCTATTGGATAAAAAGTTTAAATGCCCCTATAGTGAGTAACTCCGCCCCCACCGATGACGTAATAAGTCAGATCACGCCGAATTAGTAAACTCAGGTTTAATCTGAGAAGAGCATTCCTGGGTGGTCCCAGGGTTAGAGGAGAAGCCATAAGGGGAAACCACCCAAGGGGAAGTCTTGGACCAGACCTTAAATACCCTCTGGGGGTGGAGCTGCTGTGTGGCAGGCTTTCTCAGGGGGCAGAGTTTGGAGAGGGCAGCTCCAGGAGATATCCCCAACACTGTTTATCTCTCCCAGCCTCTGGGAGAGGATGAAGGGATCTCAGTGGGCCAAGAGAGATAAGAAGGAGGTGGCCTGCAGAGTGGGGAGCCAGAGGACCCCAAGAAGATGCCTAGAGGTCATTCCCTGGGAAGAATTACCAAGACAGAGAAAGACCAGGGCTTGCACAAAAGCCTGACTATCAGTGGGGATTTTAGAGTTTGAGTCAGGGAAATCTCCAAAGTTCTGAGACAGAAGAAATGGACTTAAAGAACACCTTTAGTGGCTACTTCTGCCTCCCCCACCCCCTTCCACCTCTGTGCCGGTAACCAGAAGTCCTGGGTTTGGGACTTTGGAGTCTTTGAAGTCATCTTGCTCTTTGTCCTCTATTTCCTGAATGGTTCAGCCTTCCTAGGGCAGGACCTGCATTCCTCACACCACCCTTTCAAAAGGGAACAGATAAACCTGGTCTAGCCAGTTGGTGCTGGCAAGGAACCCGGCCGGCGTCCAGCACTGACACAGGGTGTTAGTTAGCTGTAAAAGCTAGGAGCCAATGGGAGACCGCCTACAGATCACATCAGACCTGTTTGCTCTCTCTTCCTTGCGTTGGGCACGGAGCTGAGGAGCACCCCTCTCAGCCAGTGTGTGGTTAGGATTAACTCAGTCACTGGGAAAACAGACAGCATGGAGAGGCAGGTGCATAGGAAGCAGGGAGTAACCAGTCTGGGACAATTGCCTGGAATAAATATAATTGTCTGTCACGGGCTTTTCTGTGCCAGCCAAGCCTGCTGAGCTGACCGTGTTTAAAGGGCCAATTGTGGACTTAGAGGCAAGCTGATATCATTACTGCAGTAACTGATCACAGCAAGGAACCTAAGGCTCCTCGTGAGCTACAAAGACAGAAGGGCCGGAGGAGGTGGGACAAGAAAGACCCGGCCTGCAGACTGGACTGAAACCAACACTAGGTGATGGGTTGTTACTATCAGTGACTAACTGCCCAACGACCAGTGTCGTCTCCAGTGGTTCATTTTAAAAACAAACCGACAAAACTGACCAGAGACATTACAGCATCTTCCCAGATATCTGGGGCCAAGCACAACATGCACCTGCTGCCTTTTCCACTCATCTGTGATACATGTGACCTGAAGGGAGCAGACACCTCTGCCTGGCTTGTCCCTCTGACCCCACCAATGTTTACCATCTCTCAAAGGCTGGCTTTCTGTATCGCAGGAAACTCACATCCGCCTATTATCTTCACTACTCTGAAATCCAAACTGTGAAGACAGAAAGATTTAGTTGTATCAGCTGCCACATCACCCTCATTTCACCCAGTGACGCAATCTTCCTCCTCGTTCTTGGGGGATGATTTACAGTCTCTTTCTCTCCTCTCCTTTTAGATACTGTTAGGAAACTCTCATTGAATTAGAGGTCCGTGGAAGAGGGTACTAGTACGCTGCCCTAGAGAGAGCCCATCCAGAGCAGAACAGGACAAACAGATGAGTCTCCTAGGAAACTCCCCCTACCTTACTTGTGTGAGACTTTTGTTTGCTTGAGACAGATCTTAGAAATCCCAGGCAGCCTTGAGCTTTCTCTCTATGTAGCCAAGGGTGACTTCCAACCTCTGGCCCTTCAGCCTCTACTCCACAAGTGCAGTGATTGCAAAAGTATACGAAGTTATGGCAGTACTGGGGACTGAACCTCTGTCCCCTGCGTATCAGGGAAATACTCTACCAGCTGTGCTACATCTAAATCCTCCCTCCCTCTCTAACAGTTCCTCAGGGCCAATCAAGGCGATCTTCCCCCACACCTTGGTCCTGGAGGTCACACCCAGGAAACTTGGTAGGTAAGAGTTCTATCGGGTGATCTGTGCCCCAGGGTAAGGATCAATTTTTACTTCTTACAAACAAGAAGGGAAGTGTTAGATCTGAAACAATGGAGGTAATTCGGAAATAAAAGAAAGCAGACAGACATCCCCAGAAGCAGAAAGGCTACATTCTCTCTGAGGAAGTAAAACTGCCTGTACACAATACAGGGGGGGGGGGGTCTTAGAGTTTTATAGGAGGGAAAGAAGGGGAAACTTTGGGGATTGGCAGGTCAGTTCTCCTGCAGTCTCTGAGGTCAGATACCAGAGGGTTTGGTACGTGGAGCTGCTAATAAGAAGCCTCCACACTGTCACCAGACAAGTCAACTTCCTTGTCCAGAGCTTCTCAGTCCACTTGTAAGTCATTAACCCTTCCGAAGGGGGGGGGGCAGAAAGGGAGGTGGAGATGGAAGGAGAAATGGAAGGAAAGGGGACATGGGTTTTGGCTTCAACCTCCACCAAAGCCCCTGCCTCTTGTGGGTCAGCCTTGTCTATACCAGCTGAGTTGCTACTTCATATTTCTGCGGCTCGCGGCAAGGATTAGCAAGTCATTCATTGGTTGCGCCACCTCACTACCCTGTGAATGGAAAAAAAAAGGAATAAAAAGGAAAGGAAAGGACATGACTGCTCCTAGGTATAGTGGAGGAGAAAGTTTATTACAGATAAAAGGGAGAGCATAGGCAGAGGCAGGGACATCTCAAGAGTCCAGAGTGGACATGACCAGACTGAGCTGAGCCATGTAGGGAGAGGGGGAGGGGGAGGGGGAGAGGAGAGAGAGAGGAAGAGGGACCAGGTTCAACGGACCAGAGACCACAAGTACAAAAGGGGCAGGTAACCAAAACGTCTGGATTATGTAGGGAAGAGCCTGTGAGGTAAGGGCAGCCCAGCCCCTGGCCTGGAGAGTTCAGGGTAGAGGTTGGGGTAGCTGCCAGCCACCCTGAAACAGGGAGGGACTGAAGGATGCTGGGAGAACCTGGGGGCCAGGTCCACTTTGATATTTTAAATAGGCACCTCTTGGGTTTGAAAGTTAACAGCCTGCTAATTTTAGCCTTTCTTCCTTTTGTTTTTCTTTTTGGGGACAATGCCTGACCTGTCCCAGGCTGGCCTTGAACTCTCTATGTAGCCCACCTTGAACTTCAGCTCCTCCTGCTGCCACCTGCTGAGTTTACAGGTAAACACCACACCTTACAAATAAGAATAGATTTTTTTTCTTTCTGCTTTTAGATTTTGTTTTACTTTTTTTAAAAAATGTGTCTATGCGTGGTGCCCAAGGAGGTCAGAAGAGGGCATGAGATGTCCCGAAGCTGGAATTACAGGCCATGGTGAACTGCCCAGCATGGCTGCAGGAAACTGAACTCGAGGCCTCTGGAAGACCAGCAGCCCTTCTTGGCTGCTGAGCCCTCTCTCCTTGCCTGGACTTTTCTTTTTTAAACTGAGAATTGAACCTAGGCTGTGCAAGTGCTACATCCCTGCCTCTGGCTGTATCTCTCAAGGAAGCCTAGTTACATATTAGCCAGAAACAGGAGGTAAGCAAGCCAAAGAAAAGAAAGGGGAGGATCCTGCTGCCGCCCCAGTAGAGACAGACTCCTTTTGGCTTGTGTATCTATGGGAAGCATGTAGAACTGGCCATCTTCTCTGTACACAGTGTCCGCAGCACTGAGTCAAGACAACCTCTTTCTGATTTCTTTGTGCACAGGGCCCACCTGCCCGGCTTAACACACAAGAAATTAATAAACATCTCAAACTTGAAGGCTTCTTACTACTCCCTGGGTTCCTGTAATTCGGTTTTACCCTTCTCTGCTGTGACATTCCTTGGCTGGGCTTCAAAGTCAGGTTCACTCTGTCTAACCTGAAAGCCGGTGGCACCAGGAGGAAGTAAGCGTCTTCATTTTCTTGTTTCCCTGCTTTGCCAAATCAGGGACCGCCAGACCGTATGCGCTGAGATGCTCCAGAAAAGCGGACTCTGACCTTTTGAGGGATTCTGACAGAAACAGCCTCCAGGGGAAGGTACATGCTCGTTATTATTGTGGTGAGCGTATTGGGAAAAAAAGCCAAAACCAAATACGATGTCTGATACCTAAAAAGGTTCTTGGAAAAATGTGGGCTGCCAGCAGAAGACTCAGCCAACCAGAGTTTTTCTGATGACATCATACTCCACAAACGGGTTTTATTGGTAGGAAAGCCCTTAGGTATTGTGGAGTTTCCACTGTAGCACAAGGAAAATTGTCTGTGGCTTCGCTTAAGGTTCTACTGAGTTCTATTGTGCCAGTATTTCCAACCAAGCTGAGCTGTTTGGGGGCACTTGTTAAAAGCTGACGAATTATGGGACTTTCTTTTCTCCGGCTCTCCAAAGCGGCCGATTCCAAGTCTACAGTTTTGTTGTCCTGGAGCTGAGCGTTTCTTGCGCAGTGGCCCTAGGACCCTTGCATCAGTTCACCACAGAGGTAGGAAGTGAGGCCACCGCGGGTCAGGCAGTAGAAAGGAATCTTTGGTGGGGAAGGAAGCGAAGCCGGCTACACGCCTGCCTTTCCATCCGATGAATTCAGTTTGCAGGCACGTTCTAAGTCCGCTATGCCCTGAGATGCTGCGCTAAAAATAGCTCCGAGCTTACTTCCCTCCTTTCCAGTTTGTAGTCCCCCAGACAGAGGCCCTGCTGTCTGCCAGTCTGAGCTGGAATTAGCACACGGTGTCAGGGCTCTGCTGCATCCCTGCTGGTGGAGGCTGAAGCCTTTGCCCATCAATCGCGATCGGCTGTCTCCACTCCTGTGCCCTTTGGTTACCTGTGTCCAGGAGGCCGACCACACCCATCCTTAACTACCGATGTAAAGGATGTCATGGGCTGACTCACTCTCTCAGTGTTATTTCAGACAGCAGGCTGTTCCTGCCCCCAGCACCTCTCCACAGCACAGCTTTTCCTTCTCTGGAATCCGCCCCACCCTCCCGTGGATCCCGGAAACCTCAGCTCCAAAACTCTCATCCCTACAGTCAATTCCGTTCTCTCAGCGGCTATCTTTGCCACCCTCTACCCAGCTATGGACTCTCTCAAGCTGTGTTCATGGTTCTTGGACAGGTTTACGTATTTCCGAGTTTCTGAATGTATGTGTTCCCCGCCCCCTCATCTAGACATACTAGAAATATCACTCCTTGAACCTGAAGTCAACCACCCTGGGAATCAAAGTGGGTTAATATATTTATGGTGTAGAAATTTTGTGGGATTAGTCACAGAAAGGAATTTGGGAGAGATTGGTTAAACCTAAAGCCTAGAATGTAAATGTTTAAATGTTTTACATATACACGTATATAAGTATATACAGTCTCCTGCCCCCATTTTTCTTAGTACCTAATTCCTAGGAAGATGGGAACATATACCGTTTTCTGATCAGAAGTCTGCAGGTGAGGTAGGTTTGTTTGTTTTTCAGACAAGCTCTCCTGGTGTTGCCCAGACTGGCCCTAAATCCCAGGCTCAGGTAATACTCCTAGTTTAATCTCCAGAGTAGCTGAGACTACCAAATGTACCTGGCTCCAAATAGGCAGTTTGGGCATAAATTACAGTGTGTCTTAGGGTTACTATTGCTGTGATGAAACACCATGACCAAAGCAACTTGGGGAGGAAAGGGTTTATTTGGCTTACACTTCCCTATCGCTGTCCACCATCGAAGGAAATCAGGACCGGAATTCCAGTAGTGCAGGAACCTGGAGGCAGGAGCTGATGCAGAGACCGCGGAGGGATGCTGCTTACTGGCTTGTTCATGGCTTCCTCAATCTGCTTTCTTATTGAACCCAGGACCACCAGCCCAGGGGTGGCACCACCCCCATTGGGCTGGGCCCTCCCCCATCAATCACTAATTAAGAAAATGCCCTACAGCAGGATCCTAAGGAAGCATTTTCTTAGTTGAGGTTCCCTCCTTTCAGATAACTTTAGCTTGTGGCAAGTTGACATAAAACCAACCGAGACACAGTGTAATAAGACAAAACCATTTAACTATCCAGCACTGGCTTCCTAAGGGCCTCAGAGCAGGAAGGGAGCTGGAGTGTGAACTATTCTCAATGGCACACTCGGGTTCAAGGCACAAGAATTTTCAAGGGACATACTGAGATGCTCTCACTTGCTACAACAAAAAGCCTTTCTTGACTTACTTCAGGGCCTGGTCTTCCTTTCAGGGGACATTCCCCCACTTCATTCCAATAGAGGTGTTAACAATTAAGGTACATCATAAGGAGGGAACTAATAAGAACACAAGGGCTCAGCTTGACTTGTTTTTCTGAAAACAGCCTCCCAAAGGTAGGAGGTCCCAAAAAGCTTTAGATGGAGGAACAGAAAGGAATGGGAGGACTGTGGTGTAAATTCAGTGGTAAAGCATGTGGTTAGCATGCACAAGACCCAACACTACAAATTAGTGGAAGAAAAAAGAGAGCAGAGGGAGGGAGGGAGGGAGGGAGGAAGGAAGGAAGGAAGGAAGGAAGGAAGGAAGGAAGGAAGGAAGGAAGGAGAGCAAAGGGGTAGGCAAGACCTGCCTCAGGGCCCCATCCCTTCGGGCCCTTGCTAGCACCATCTTTTAATGCACCGCCAGAGGCTAAAACACTGTCTGAAGGACTCGGGTTTTTAAAGTATGGGTTGTATCCCCATATAAAGCCATGCAACCAGATACGGGGAGTGTGAAAAAATCGCCAATGGCAAAATGTTTCTGAACATGCAACAATAAAGACTTATTTAAAGTCAAGCAAAATAAAATAAAGTCAGGCATGTAACGAATCTGAGTTGTTTCTGGCAGGGTTCACCCATGCGGCAGAGAGCAGGCTCACTGAAGCCTTGCTGTGCACGTACAACATGCGTGCTTCTGTACTGTGTACACTGTCACAGCGTGAACCAGTGAACACTGCTGAAACACCTTGGCTCAGATTACAGGCAACTGCAACAGTTTGGAAGTGTTTTTACTGCACATACATGGTTTTCTACTCTTACAGAAATGTCATTCCTTCTCCTGGCCAGCTTTGGTTATGTCTCAGTCTTCAGACTGTGGTATCTTGTGCAGAGAGGTCCCCTCACTTAAAGAGCTAAAAAGGGGAGTGAGACACCTTCAATGCTGCCTCATCTTTGTTCAGTCTCCTCACCCTTTCTCACAGCAAAATCTGTTGTTGGCTGACTATTGGTATTTGTTTGGTTTTGTTGGTGGGAGTTCTGCTCAAGGCCGTATGGATGAGCTCTATCTCCCTCCCACTGTTGACTATTCTAAGTCTGTAGCAAGCACTCAATCATATATTGTTACATATGTACACTCGATAAAAATTAATCCGAAAGCCTAGTCTGGTGGCATGTACCTTTAATCCCAGTACTCAGGAGGCAGAGACAGGCAGATCTCTGAGTTTGAGGTCATCATGGTCTATAAAGTGAGTTCCAGGACATTCAGGGCTGCACAGAGACACCCTGTCTCCAAAACCAAAAACAATCAAACAAATAAAGAACCCTAAATTTAATTAGGTGCCTGTTATGCTGAACTTTGTGATTTGGGGTTGAGAAAACATAATCACCACAAGTATGTGTGGTATAGACAGTCCTCACTAAATTTCCCATGTGCTCCCTTCTAAATCAGGCAAGGAATACAAGCTAGTTCTGCCCAGTAAACTATGAAGAGAATAATCTCCATCTTTCTTCCATGGCAGCACTGATTTTTTGTTTGTTCTGAGATAGGGTCTATTTCAGAGGTTCTCCACCTGTGGGTCACAACTCCCTTGGGGGTCAAACAACCCTTTCACAGGAGTCCCGTATCAGATATCCTACAAATCAGACATTTACATTATGGTTCATAACAATAACAAAGTTACAGTTATGAAGTAGCAACAAAAGTAATTTTATGGTTGGGGGTCATCACAACACAAGGGACTGTATTAAATAAAGGGTTGAAGCATTAAGAATGTTGAGAACCACTGCTTTATATTGTAGCCCTGGCTGTCCTAGAACTTACTATGTAGACCAGGCTGGCTTCAACCTCACAGAGATCTGCCTTCCTCTACCTCCTGATTGCTGGGGTTAAAGATGTGCACCATGTCACCGGGCTGGTAGTCTTGACAACTCTCAAGATGGAATCATGAGCTACTATATGAAAGGACATTCTGGTTTAGTGGAATGTTAGTAGGACAGCTGGAGTTAAGGTAGGCCCTTTAAGTGAATAAGAAAATACTTTTCATATTTGTCTTAGGGTTTTTCTTCTTCTTTTCCTTCTCTTCCTCCTCCTCCTCCTCATCCTTCTTGACAGGGTTTCTCTGTGTAGTTTTGGTGCCTGTCCTGGATCTTGCTCTGTAGACCAGGCTGGCCTCGAATTCACAGAGGTCTGGCTGGCTCTGCCTCCCTAGTGCTGGGATTAAAGGAGTGCACTACCACTGCCTGGTTAGTTAGGGTTTCTATTGCTGTGATAAATCACCATGACCAAAAGCAACCTGGGGAGGAAGAGTTTATTTTAGCTTAGACTTCCACAACATGGTCCATTCCTGAGGGAAGACATGGCAGGAACTCAAACAGGACAGCAAACTGGAGGCAAGAGCTGATGTGGAGGCCAAGGAGGAGTGCTACCTCCTTGCTTGCTCCCCCTGGCTTGCTCAGCTTGCTTTCTTATAGCATTCAGGACCACAGTCTCAGTGGTGCCCCCACCCACAGTGAGCTGGGTCCTCCCATACAATCATCAACCAAGAAAACTCACTACAGTTCCATCTGGTGAGGGCATTTCCTCAGCTGAGGCTCTCTTCCCAAATGATTCTGGCTTGTGTCAAGTTGTCATAAATTTAGCCAGTACAATATTTTCCCCTGTGGTATTAAGGCTTGTTATATCTGCATAATTCGACACTGTTCTCTCTGACCAATACCACATAGAAACATTAATCAAGTATGGAGTTTATTCCTATTTCTACCACTGCCCAAGAATTGCTTTCTAAAAAACACAGACTTGGGATAGGGGAGTAACTCAGTCAGTAAAGCGTGCTGTGCAAGCATGAAGACCTGAGTTCAATACCCCACAATCCACGTGAAAAGCAATGCATGGTGTCATGGATTTGTATTTCTGGGTAGGTAGAGACATGGATCCCTGGGTTTACTGGCCAGCTAGCCAAGCCTACTTGGTTAGCTCCCAGCCACTTAGAGACGGTGAGTTCAAGGCCAACCTGGTCTACAGAGCGAGTTCCATGACAGCCAAGGTTACACAGAGACTCTGTCTTGAAACCTCTCCCCTGCCAAAAAACAAAACAAAAAAAAAAACAAAAAAAAACAACAAGGTGAATGTCCCCTGGGAAAAAATACCTAAGGTTGTTCTCTGGTCTTTGCACACACAAGCACTTGCATACACATGTGTATACATATACATTCATGCACATGCACACACACATAATCCTCAAAATTTATACAAATTATATACATTTGTTATAGAAAATCATGAATGCCTGTTGCGTGCAACTCTGCCTTATTTGCATGTGAACTTAGGGGGTGCCTAGCGTCTATAGTGTGTGTGGCTACGGGTGGCTAGGGGAGGAAACCTCCACCTATGTGGTCACAGGAAATCTCCCATCCCTTCTGGATATGGCCTCTTGGTGGTGGGGGGTGGGGGTGGGGTGGGGAGTAGAAGCACCCACACCCCTGCAAAGAACCTCTCATCTATGCTCTGTAAAGAAGCTCAATCAACTCATTGGTTCCCCTAGGGTACACTTTGGCAGTATTGTGCCTTGGTTTGCCCCTGGGACCTTAGGAGAAGGGGTAGATGTTGCTTACATCTCCCCCTGGAAAGTAATTTGAACAATAAATCCACATATAAATACATTTATATTTACGTATTGTTTTGGAAGCTACTTGACAAGATATCCTGTTTATTTTCCCAAAAGCAGTAGAAATTATTTTTGAACACAATTCTCCATCGTTGCATAACATTGCATTATAATTGTCCCATAATTTATCTGCTGCCGGACAATCTCCCATCTCTTTCCACCTAAATTCCTTCCATAACATTTCGGCTCCTTTTGTACATATTTTATCACTTACTTCCTCTCCCACTCATAGAATGACTCTTAGCCATGTACATTCACAGAATGCAAATGAGACAGTCCAAAAATAATAGAAGCAGATATGAAATTCACAATGTGGGATATTTTGGGGTGAGGAAGGAAGAAGCAAAGTTTATGCAACGTATCCACTGTTATAATTATTATTGTCATCATTACCCTTATTTGTCACCATGTTTTGGTTTTTATTCTCAGAGTTGTAGACCCGATGGGAGGAACGAAGTGAGACGGCAGGATGGAAAGAACCAAAAAGCTATTCTGGTTCAGATAGGTGTGTTGCCAAGAAACAAAGCAACATCGAGCTCAAATGAATAATGGTTTAAGTAAGAAAGAAACTCATTTTACTTTTGCATCCAAGTCTGATGTAGGCACCTATGCTATCCATGGCATTATAGTTTGAATCTGAAATGTCCCCTGAATCCTTGTGTTTGAATGCTTGCTCTCTACCTGGGACCTAGCTGGTAGAAGTAGGTCACTAGGGGTGGGCCTTTGAAGGATAGAGCCTAACCCCTGGTCTGGCCTTGCCTCTTCCTCTTGGCCTGCCATGGTGTAAGGAGCTGCCATGAGCTCCACCAAGCCTTCCTAACCATAATAGTCTGAATCCTCTGGAACTCTGGGTACTTAAGTTGTTTCTCAAGGAGGCAATGACTCAAGGGTAACTAAGACATATCAGAGATCCACTCTTCTACTTAACTCCCTGAGAAATTTTCCATTCTTGGGGTCATCTGCTGTGGGATGTCTTTCTGCATGCTGTGAATATGTATTGCTTTGATTGGTTGATAAATAAAGCTGCATTGGCCTATGGCAGGGCAGGATGGAGCCAGGCTGGAAAATCCGAGAGATAGTGGGAGAAGAAAGGAGAGTGGGGCAGATGTGTTAGCGTGCTAGCTGCCACCAGGAGAAGCAAGATGTAAAAGTACCAGTAAGCCACAAGCCACATGGCAAAATATAGATTTATAGAAATGGGTAAGTGTAAGGTGCAATAGCTAGTTAGCGAGAAGCCTGACCCATTAGGTCATAAGTTTTATAAGTAATATAAGCCTCTGTGTGTTTACTTGGGACTAAGCAGCTTCAGAATGCAAGTGGGAGAGATTTGTCCTGACCACAGGCCAGGCAGGCAGGACAAAGGAAAACTTCCAGCTACAGTCGTCTTGCAAGATCTGGAAGGCTACTTCAATATCAACATCCAATCAAGAGGTGAGGCTGTAAGTAAAACGTTACCCCTTCCCAATTCATTTTTGGGGCTAGTTGAACACCCCACATCTACTTATCACCTGGCCTTGTATTGAAGCAAGCAAGAAAAATGTTTATCCTGAGTGCCCCTGTGCCCCTATCCCCCTGTGCCCAGACAAAAACCTGGGATGCAGTTGCCATAGAAGAAAGCAAGGCTGGATATCAATGGGCACTAACTCTCTGCCCTAAGAACCACCAGGTTTTTAACTGAAATGTTTTATCATTTTCAGAAGTAAATACTCCAGTCGCGTTCCTGATGGCAGAGACTCAGCAGTAGAAACAGCAGCGGTGAGGCATCATCAAACTCTGGCAAGGGAGAGACAGGCTAAGCAAATATATGTTCAGTGTCTTAATTCCTGTTGTGTTTCTGAAATCAGCCAACTCCTGTGGAATGGACATGTGCTAGAGGAAAAGAGAACTGATAACTCCCAGAGCATCTTAATGAGCACTTGGCTTCATCAGAAGGCTGCTACCTGATACGTGGGAAGCTGAGCTTGGCAGATTCCCAGTGTATCGAGGTACAATCCCTAAGTGAGAAGAATAGCTGCATGTGTAGGTGAAGCCAGTCTCCTTCATGCTCCTGAGGCTTTGCTCTGGTTGCTCCACCCATTTAGAACCCATGGTCCCTACTCTTTGTGAAGAAATGCTGCTTCTCTCTCGTCCCTTAAGGTGATGCTTAAATCATTGCTTCTCAGGATATCTGTTTCTGTTCCTTTAGTTCCGTGATCCGTTTGTTTACTCATCAAATATTGGTAGAGTCTACCGTGTACCAGACACTACAGTGGGCATTGCAGAGGAAGAAGTTGGGTAGATAAGGATAAACTAGACATGTCTGTACACTTAAACAGAACTGGGTGGTGGAGCATTCTCCTAGTGTGCTGGGCTGCCTGACTAAACAAAGGGCAGAGAGCGTCCAGAGGGCAAATGGCTGATGTTTCAATTAGCAAGTGTGTATAGAGTTCGTACTGTATGCCAGGCACTGTTTTGTTCTGTATACACTGAGTCGAAATGGCTCTTCTAAGTTTTATGACAATCCTCTGAACACATACTTACCATCACCCTGTGTTACAGAAGATGAGACTGAGGCTGTAGGAAGTCACGTGACCAAGGTCACAGAGCTAGTAAGTAGTGACGATAAAGTGGAATCTGGGAAGACTGGCTCTGACTAGTGTGCACACTGTATAACTGTCTATGCCACTGTGTACTCCCAGTGTTTAATAGGGTTCCTGGAATGTAGTTGGTATTCTATAGATGTATGTTCAGAGGCAGCGAGCTGGCTGCTATGCAGGGTCAGCTCTTCTCTCTAAGCCACACTCTAAAAAGATGAAAAGAGGTTGGCCTGACAGATTTCTAAAAGTCTTTAAAACTCTGAACTATAGAGTCTAAACTTTCCATCTATTCACACAGTAATATTCTAGCTTAGGTCTGGGGCAGATCTGGAAGGACTACCTGGTAGGAGTCTAGACTTCAGACAGACTCTATCTGCAGTAGATGAATGAGAATTGTTTTGGTTTATCAAGTCCTCAGCGCTGTCTCACCTTTGTGAACCCTGGGAGTAGCTGGTTCAGATGCTGCCAATCGTACACTGTAGCAGGATTGATAGGCCATCAGAAGGTGGGATGGTAAAGGGCTTCCCTCTTGGATAGAAATGGTTTTGTAGCAAAGAATGTTTGGATCACTCTTCCCTTTCATTTGAAGAGGCCTCAGATCAGTCTTAACTGTTCCTGCCCTTACAATAGAAAGATAGTACGATATCTTCCAGACCTCCATTCTTTGTAAATTGGGCTGCAAACAATACCCCATTCCGGATAGCTTGCTCTAAATGACTCTTTCAGATTATACTAGGACATGACGCTGTTGCTCAAGACCTGACAGTACAAAGCGCCAGACCTTTGGTCAGAGGCCAGCAGAGTCCCCACGATCTGACTGAATGCCAGTTCAGGTTATTATTCTTTGGCTGGGCTTCCCTTCCCTGCCGCGTCAGCTGGCTCCATTGGTGTTCTCCCAGTGCCCGCTGCTTAGTAATCTGTGAATTGGCAGGACTGGTTTCTCTGGCAAGTGATGGTCAGAAAAGGGCCTGCATTGAGTTTGGCTAGCACTGACCACAAAGGTAATCAGCTTCCTAAACTGTAATCAGCACATGGATAATTTTCTGTGCAGAGCTGAAGTCAACGGGAGAGGAGCATGTACCCCTGCATTTGAGGATTAAATGTACCATGGAAAATTTTAACTGTTTTTTTTTTTTTAAACTCTGAAAGTCCACGACAGAATGATTTTGATTTTTCTTTCATTTTGCCATGACAGCAAATGAACACAAAGACTGTGAGAGAATGAACTTCATGGGGGGAAGGAGTCATTGTACCAGCTACAGAGTATTGTTAAACATCCAACATCTGAATATATGCTAGTTGGATATTTAGTTATGATCTATAATGATCTAAATGAGAACTGCCCCCCAGAGACACAGGCATTTGAACACCCCATCCCCAGCTGGTGGCACTGTATGGGTAGGCCTAGGTGGTGCAATCTTGCTGAAGGAAGTATATCGATGGGAAAGGATTTGAGAGCTTAGAGCCTCCCTTGCTTCTAGTTCACGTTCACTGCTTCATGTTTATGGTCCAGGATGTGAGCTTTCAGCATCCTCTAGCCACCATGCCTGTTCCTTGCTGCCAGGCCTCCATCATGATGGATTCTCCATCCTTCTGGAACCATAAGCCAAGATAAACTCTTCTTCTATAAGTCACCTTGGCCAAAGTGTTTTTATCACTGCAACTGAAGAGCATTCCAAATCTTGTTTAACTTTCTTGGAATCCCAGTGAGATTTTTATTATGGTAACTGTAGTTGTACTTTCTCATTAGGACCCCTGGCCCACAAATAACAACACAGAGACTTACTATTAACTATAAAAATAAAGCTTGGTTTCAGCTTAGGCTTGTTCTCAACTAGCTCTTATAACTTATTAAATTAATCCATTTATATGAATCTATGTTTGGCCATGTGGCATTACTTCATCTCCATACTGCCTATCCTGCTTCCTCTGTGTGTGTCTGGCAAATTCCTGTGCACCTAGATTTTTTTCTCCCCTGCCTTTCTTTTCTCAGAAATCCCACCTAACCTTCTCCTGCCTAGCTATTGGACATTCAGCTTTTTATTACACCAATTATATCAACGTATCTTCACACAATGTATAAATATTCTACAACATCTCCCCCTTGTTGTCTAAATAAAAAGGGAAGGTTTTAACTCTAACACAGTAAAACTATATACAATAAGAACAATTACTGGGTAAGAACTACATTCACAATTTGTATTTGGCAAATACAAATTTGTATTTGCATTTGGCAAATTCAGAGAAAATACTCTATTATCTATCCTATTTTGGTGAGTCCAAAGTTTTGTACCTAATTCACTTTTTATCCTAACTAAAGAAAACTGTAACTATAACTATGGCTTTAACCTCATCAGAGAACCGAGAAGGACATATTACGTGAGTAAACAGGAAATACAGAGTAAGAAACTTTTAAAACTATAGAAATAACAGAAACAGGTGGCTGCTTGGACAGTCACCCAAGGTTCTGCTGCAACGTTGGAGCCTCCATCACCCACCTACATATCTGTAGGCTACATACATAGCCTAGAATATCTGACAGATTTTTCTGTGAAGCAGGAATTTTGAAGGGCTGTCCTACCTTGTCTTGGCAAACTTTTGCAGTCGTCTTGTTTTATGTCCTGCTTGTCCAATTGGATAGCATACTGTCAGCAGTTGAGGCAAAGGCAATTTCTTGTATAAATAGCTAGTTTTGCCACATTGAAAGCAAACTCCATATTTTGATTCTCATCATCCCTTTTTGAAGTAAATTGGTACTGCCAGGAGCAGATGTGCCTTACTGTCATGAAAAGCCTAATGTTATTAAAACATCTTATATGTCATATTCTATAGGTCTCTGTGAAGTGTTTGAAGGCCATCTGACTATCTAAAATAGATCTGTTTGACCTTGAAAACATACCTACATGAGTACAAATTTGATTGATATAGATGACTAACTACTATCCTACATTTCTTAATTATCCTAAACAGTTTGTTAATAATACTCTTTAAGAACTAGAACTTTACATTTAAAATGAGCTGCATAGGTATGAGTAGAAACATATATGCAGTATGTTAAAACAAAAATAGCCTTAAATTTATATCAATATACAAAAATCCATATCAATGTAAAACATTTATGTAAGTAAACTGCAAAAACTCTGGGTTTGGTGTCCCAGGTTTCAGCACCAAAATGTTAGTAAATTGATGGCTGAAACTGCAAGGAGACAGTTCAGCCCTAGAGGGTGATGTATCCTGGACACCTGGAGCTACTCAGAACAAGAGCTCTGCCCTGAAGGTGTCCCAGACACTTGGAGCTGTTTAGAACAGCTGTGATGGCTGAACTGGAGACAGTTCAGCCCTAGAGGGCGAGGTATCCTGGACACCTCCAGCTACTTAGAACAAGAGCTCTGCCCTGAAGGTGTCCCGGACACCTGGAACTGTTTAGCACAGCTCTGATGGCTGGGACTGCAAAGAAACAGCCCAACCTTGGAAAGGAAGGTTTTCTGACTTCTTGGGAGAGTCAGGCCTGGAACTGCTTCAGCAAGGAAGGGTATCCTGACTCTTTGGGAAAGTCAGGCTATACCTGGTGTGATGGGGGATGGTCTCCCCACAGGACACAGCAATCCTGCTCCTCTCCTGGAGAGCCACAATCTCCAGCTCAGTGTTATCAGCTCTCTCTTGCCCAGTCCACTATGGAATATCTTAGCAAGGTTCTTCTTTTCAGCTCCCCCTTGCTCAGTCCACTATAGGACATCTTAGCAAGGTTCTTCTGTGCACCAGTGGATGAAGGTCTTCACCCAAAACTCTTTTAAGAAAGAGGTTTATTTGGGAAGGAGGAGTCCAGGAGAGTACCTGCCTCTACCAGGGTGGAGAGAACAGCTCTCAACTGACTGGGCAGGGTGGTTTATATAGGATGTCTAGGGGGCAGAGTCAACTGTGATTGGTTAGTTTTTTTCTGCCCAGGGATTGGCCAGTTTTGTGGGCAAGGGACAGAGATGGCCCTGATTTCAGGGCCAAGCTGTGTTTCACTGGCCTTTCTTGACTTTTTGACACTACCCCTAAGGCCAGGGCACATTTCTTTCACTGACTCTGATTCTAGGGGCCAAGAGTGTTATTTTGGTACTAGTTTTAGAGTCAGGGCATATTTCCTGGGTTCTGGGTTTGGGGATAAAGTGTTCACTTCTCTGGCTCAGGTCCCAAACACAGACTGTGTTTCTTTCCCTGGTCCTGGGCCCCAGGGCCAGGATTCTGCTGTCCTGCTCTGTGATTGGTTGATTTTACAAGTCAGTTGGACAGGGATAGAGATGGCTTTGATCTGAGCTAAACTGTGTTTCTCTCACGGACCTTATCTGAGCCATCCTTCCCTAATTCTGGGCTTCAGGGTCAGGGTGGGTTTCTTTAGCCAGCCTCTTTTCCTTACAATTTAAGGTTAATAGTTGTTTTTAGTTTAAAAGTAGATTCAACAATCTACCCTTTTATCCTATCATTTATATATCTCCCTTTTCTTTTCAGAAAGAGATCTTTGAATCCAACCTCCTTTGTTTAGTTTTTTTCCCTTTTTTTTTGACCATGACCAGTAACAACTTGCAACTAACCCCCTCTAAACAATAACAAACATCCATAACCCTTCAAATGACCAGAAACCATCCACCCCATCTCCTGAGAATGTAGGCATCATTCTCTCTAGATTGCTTCCTGTTGTCTGGGGGCAATAGAATCTTTTAGGGGACCCTGAGAAAATTGGGATAATGGTGAAGTCCTGGGAGAGCTAGCTGTATTGTATTTCATTGAGTCTCTGTGTGATGGGAAAGTGGACTGTTTATATGAAGTCCTGGCTGGAGTAGTCTGTGAGGCTGGACCATCTCAACTTTAAAGGATGTAGAATTTTGAGGAAACTGCAACAGAGGCATTCTGAGAGGCTACATGACCTGGACTACTTGTCTTCATTGGTGTTTGGTCCTTTTTTCCTTCTGAAAACACACAAACTTTTAAAGGTAACATACATATCTGCATTAACACAAGTATAGAATATGTGGTATGCACAAGTCAGCTAAAGATGATTTTCTGTTCTATATTTGAGCAGGTAAAAGGCCTCTGTCAACTTTATAAGTCCTTTTGGACGATATAACCAAACCTCTATCCATGCCATGTGAAAGGATGGCATGTAATAATAAATCATGAGGACTCTGTGGCCAACAAGATTTATTATGTCTTATCCAGTCTCAGAGCTGTTCCCATATTGAGGGATCAGCATACATGTCACTTGTCTTGTAAGTTTTCTTGATTTTTTTCTTTAAGTTTGTAGCCAAGATTTTCAGGAGGCCTCCCCTAATCAAATCTGATCTTTATTAATTTTGAAGAAATCCATAGTTTTTTTGTTTCCTGTGGAAACAAAGGCATAACCTCTCCCCAACACAACATATTTCCTGACTTCCGTTTAAAGTTAAGACATCCTTAAAATATATATGATGGTTAAATTCAGTAGTTTTCCCCACAATCCACTATCTCTCAGCTGCTGCCAATTTTTTTTTTTGTTCATTGGCATTTAAAACATTTGAAGCCAACAGAGTACCATACAGTGATGCCCCATGCATGTGTTTCCCATCTTTATGTGGCCTGTTCTTTTTACTTTACTTTATTTTTTTCTTTAAAGACTTTACTATTTTAAAACTATTTAATTTTTTTTCTATGACTGTCTATACCCATTTTCTTTTTTTCCTTCAGCACCTAAGCATAACCAAACATATTATATCTATTTAGAGGGTTTCTTGGTCTGGACCTGACTTTTTTTTGCGTGTCTGTAGCCTTCTCTTGTAGCAGGAATCTTAGAAGTTCTTATTAATAAAATCAAACCTGAGGCCAGTTATTGGGGTGAATGCTGGAAGATCAGAGAAGCAGAACAAGCCACAGCTACCTCACCT